TCCTTTCCTTTTTCCTTTTTTTTCCATTTTCCTTTTCCTTTTTCTTTTTCTTTTTCTTTTTCTTTTTCTTTTTCTTTTTCTTTTCTTCTTTTTCCTTTTTCTTTTTTTTCTTTTTCTTTTTTTTTTCTTTTTTTTTTCTTTTTTTTTGGGTGCAAGTTGTCCAACTTAGCAGCTTTGTACATGATTGGGTAGCCAAGCAAAAGTAGGGAAAAACGTCATCAGACATGGTTTTGATGACGATGATGATAATGATAGTTATTATAATGTAAAAAAGAAAAAGAAAAAGGAAAAAAGAAAAAGAAAAAGAAAAAGGAAACAAGATGATGTGCTTTTGAACGCCACCAAGAAGTCCGTACTGTTCGGTTGATGGCACTCACCCAGTTCGCGCCGTCGCGCTAGCTCCCGCGCGAGGCCACGCAGCGGTTCAACCGAAGGGAGCCGCCGGAGCTCGCCAGCGCCGCAGGTTAGCCCCCACCCCGTGCGCGCCGTCGCGCTAGCTCCCGCGCGAGGCCGCGCAGCGGTTCGAAAACTCGAACCGCGTGCGCGACCTTCGACGCGCGCGCTTGCTCGTAGAGGCAAGCGCCGCCATAGCCACAGCCATCTGGCGCTGGCGGTGTCCAACATTCCCCGCGGTCCCCCCCTCCGCCCCCTGGCGCGCGCTACCTGCGCCACCTATAGATCGACACCTCTACAAGCTCTCGACAGTTACACGCCCTGCGCGTCGCGGCTCACACAGAGAGAGAAGAACCGCCCAGTCACCGACGGGCTACCACGTTCTTCGAGTACTTAGACGCCCAGGGGATTTCCACGTCAGCGACATGTCGACTCCAGGCTGGCAAGAATCGGCGAGAGAAGCCGCGCTGGTAGTAGGTGGAGTAGGTACGCCCGCGGGCGTTTTCCCTCCGCCAGGGCGAGCGCCAGTCGAGCCTCCTCCCTTCTTACCGCGGCTCCATAGTCGCAAAGGAGGCACACCGAAGACGACGGACACGTGGAAAGCCAGCAGCTGAGCCGCCTGCAGCAAGACGTCACAGGGCGCCATCTGCACAGAAGCAACACGCCATAGGGAGATGACAATAGTCAGCCAATCCACTCCAATCCAAGGAGAGAGACTTGGGGGAGGGAGGGGAAGGGGATAGTGAGGAGGACTCCGACCAGAGCATTGGGAAAGATATCTCACGAAGAAAAAAGACACCTACTTCGGTAGTAGGTAGGGATCAAACGAGTCAGACACAAAGGAAGCTCCACGCAATACAAAAGGAGGAGGTGTCAAGTATGAGAGGCATCATGCATCCAACAGGACCGCTATTGTCCCCAAGACCACCGACTCCAGGGCTATAGCATCCCCTCTGGGCTATAGACTCCCTGGGGTAAAGAATTCCAGGGCTATAGCATCCCCCCTGGGCTATAGACTCCCAGGGCTATAGCATCCCCCTTGGGCTATAGACTCCCAGGGCTATAGCATCCCCCCTGGGGTTAGAACTCCAGGGCTATAGCATCCCTTCTGGCCTATAGCACCTCGTCTATAGCACCCCCCCCGGGGCTAAACCATCCCTGGGCTAAGAACTCCAGGGCTATAGCATCCCCCCTGCGCTATAGACTCCAGGGCTATGGCATCCCCGCCGGGCTATAGACTCCAGGGCTATAGAATCCCCCCCGCCTCAATCCCCCCCTGATTTCTTGGCCATCCCGTGCCCACCTCCGTCTCT